AGGAGGAGAAAAAGGGGGACTCAAGAGGAAAGAGACAGATCTACACAGTTGTCTGTTCCCAGAGTGTTCTCCGTAGCCCAGACACCCACAAAGATTCACAGAATTGGATTGGGAAGAGAAGGGGAAAGGAGGAAACAGAGGTGTTCTGAGGTAGAAAATGGAGAGTCAAAATTGGGAGAGAGTAATCAACAGCCTCCTGAGTAAAAATGGGAACTGAATATTGGCTTCTTAAATGACAAAAATTTATATCACATACTGAAAAACAAAGATTAAAAATCTAGCGTAGAGGTTAGACTCTTAAAAATACAATGTTAAAAACAAGAACAAAAACACAAAAAATTTTAGAAATATATATGGTTCGGTTTAAAAATAGGGCTTCTCTTTTTTTTTTTGCAAGGTTATAGTGAAATGAAAATGAAACTTAAGGAGTAGTAGAGGAGTAATAGAGGACTTTAAAAGAAAATAAGAGAAAAAGAAAAAAAAAGGGGAAAAAAAATTTTTTTCCTAATTAAAAAAATCGTAAAAATATATGAAAATGAAAGTTAAGGAGTAATGGGGGAGTAATAGGGAATTTTAAAAGAAAATAAAAGAGAAAAAACAAAAAAGGAAAGGAAAGAAAAAAATTTTTTTAATAAAAAAAAAAGTAAAAATATATCTAGGAATTTCTCTGGAGCTGTTGCGGTCAGTGTGGGTTCGGTTCAGTTTCAGATAGCTCTTCGTTCCAGCTTACACTTCTCGATATCTATAGGCCCCTTCCGGTGTAGTCGGTGTTACCTACAGGGATTTTAATCTGTTGCACCGGTCCCTTCTGAAGCGGTTCCCTTTGTTTATTTGGCTTCTGTTTGCCGGTCTCTTCAGTGTCTAATTTCCGCCCTGACACAGGCAGGCGGAGGTGGTCTGTTGTTCAGGTTCGCTAGTTCCGTGGCGCTGCGGGGAGGGGCTGGTGCTGCTTTCCCCGTCTACACTGCTCAGGCTCCCGGCTGCTCTATATGGAGCGTGCCCTGCGCTGTGCGCGGTTCCAGTTTTCCGGTTCTCCACAAAAGCGTGGACTCGGTTGTGCCTGCGTTTTGTGCCTTCCCCTTCAGAGCGGCTCAGGCAGCCAGGAGCTTGACGGGTGCACTCTCCCTGGGTGCGGCGCGCCTTCTCCCCTCCGCGGCCCCAGCCTTAGTTTCTGCCCGCGCCGGTCGGTTGCGTGAGCCTTGTGTTTAGCCGCGACCCTCCCAGCGGATTTCGACCATCCAGAGTCTCAGGAAGTCTTTGGTTAGAAACTGGAGGCCTGTTTGCAGTGTGGTAGGGGATGCCATCCTTGGGGCTGAGTTTGCCCCTTTCCCCTCCCCACTGCCTTGCTCAGACCCTTTGTTCTGCGAACGGCTGGCGGTGTGTTCCAGCCGGTTAATTTTCTCTCTCTCTCTTGCTATCCCACAGTTTAAGTTGGTATCTCACAAAAGCTCCCTCCGATTGCCCTCAGGGCACTCAGGCCCAGTCCTTACCCTAAACAATGCCGCCTGCTCCACTCCGCTCTGTTCTGCCCCGACTTGCTGGTGGCGGATACGGGCATCTGGGGTACTTTTCTGCTAGGAGTTGCATTTAGGCACGTAATCTGTGGGGTTTATTTATTTATTTATTTATTTTCCTCCCAGTTAGGTTGCCCTCCGAGATTCGAAAACTTCCCCCAGACCTGCCAGTGCGAGGGTTTCCTGGTGTTTGGAAACTTCCTCTATTAAGACTCCCTTCCCGGGACGGGTCTCCGTCCCTAGCTCTTTTGTCTCTCTTTTTATCTTTCATATTTTGTCCTACCTCCTTTCGAAAACAATGGGCTGCTTTTCTGGGCACCTGATGTCCTCAGCTAGCGATCAGAAGTTGTTTTGTGAAGTTTGCTCTGTGTTGAATTGTTCTTTCGATGAATTTGTAGGGGAGAAAGTGGTCTCGCCATCCAATTCCTCCATCATTTTGGCTCAATTTTCTCTTCTGTGTATTCTTGCCACCTCTTAATATCTTCTGCTTCTGTTAGATCCATACCATTTTTGTCCTTTATTGTGCCCATCTTTGCATGAAATGTCCCCTTGGTATCTCTAATTTTCTTGAAGAGATCTCTAGTCTTTCCCCTTTTATTGCTTTCCTCTATTTCTTTGCATTGATCTCTGAGGAAGGCTTTCTTATCTCTCCTTGCTATTCTTTGGAACTCTGCATTCAGATGGGTATATCTTTCCTTTTCTCTTTTGCCTTTCACGTCTCTCCTTTTCTCAGACAAACTGAGAAGGCCTATTTGTAAGGCCTCCTCAGACAACCATTTTGCCTTTTTGTATTTCATTTTCTTGGAGGTAGTTTTGATCACAGCCTCCTGTACCTGTTATGAACCTCTATCCATAGTTCTTCAGGCACTCTGTCTATCAGATCTAGTCCCTTGAATCTATTTCTCACTTCCACTGTATAATTGTAAGGGATTTGATTTAGGTCACACCTGAATGGTCTAGTGGTTTTCCCTACTTTCTTCAATTTAAGTCTGAATTTGGCAATAAGGAGTTCATGATGTGAGCCACAGTCAGCTACCAGTCTTGTTTTTGCTGACTGTATAGAGCTTATCCATCTTTGGCTAAAAAGAATATAATCAATCTAATTTCGGTATTGACCATCTGGTGATGTCCATGTGTAGAGTCTTCTTTTGTGTTGTTGGAAGGTGTTTGCTATGACCAGTGCATTCTCTTGGCAAAACTCTTTTAGCCTTTGCTCTGCTTCATTTTGTACTCCAAGGCCAAACTTGCCTGTTACTCCAGGTATCTCTTGACTTTTGCATTCTAGTCCCCTATGATAAAAAGGACATCTTGTTTTGGTGTTAGCTCTAGGTGGTCGTGTAGGTCTTCATAGAACCATTCAACTTCAGCTTCTTTGACATTAGTGATTGGGGCATAGACTTGAATTACTTAGAATAGAGTGGTTTGCCTTGGAAACAAACAGATCATTCTGTTGTTTTTGAGATTGCCCCCAAGTACTGCCTTTCAGACTCTTTAGTTGACTATGAGGACTACTCCATTTCTTCTAAGAGATTCGTGCTCCCAGTAGTAGATACAATGGTCATCTGAAGCAATTATAGATTTACCTCATTATTTTTCAGAGTTGCACGTATTTTTTTTAAAACATAGCCAATAGAAATTCTAGAAGTCATCTATTTTCCATTCATCTTTTGTAATGGAGAATGTACCTCTTTTTAGACATATTAAATAAATTTTTTCAAGTTCAAAATGTAATATCTTTTGAAATTTCATTCTTTCTTGGTTTGCTTTCTCAGATCTTCATGAAATACTCCTTTAACAACTGGCCTTTTCACAAATGATTACTGTGCTTAAGGGGTCACTTCTCTATACCTTGCCTTTATCCATAATCAGGATGCCCCGTGCATCCCCTAGGAAGGTAGAGGAAGGAGATGCTACAGTGCAGTGTAGCATTGTGACTATGAGCACAGGCTCTGCTCAGACCTAGAGCCAAGCCCCTGGTTTGCACCTCACTGGCTGTGTGACTTGGGGAAAGAGACTTCTCTGAGCTTCAGTGTCTTTATCTGTAAAATGGAAATGCACTTTACTTCAGCATTTGTTGTGAAGATTAAGTGAGCTAAAACATGCAAAATGCTTTGCATAGGACTCGGTACTTAACGGTTGTACAGTAAATACTAATTTATTGACCACGTCTTCAACAGCATTCCCCATCCCAAGGATCCATGGTACTGATTGTCGTGATTAATTTGCATACATGCCACATATAGGCTTCCCAGGTGACACTAGTGGTAAAGGACCTGCCTGCCAATGCAGGAGACATATGCCACGTGGGTTCGATCCCTGGGTCAGAAAGATCCTCTGGAGAAGGGATTGACAACCTACTCCAGTATTCTTGCCTAGAGACTCCCATGAACAGTGGAGCCTGGTAGGCTACAGTTGATAGGGTCACACAGAGTCAAACATGACTGAAGTGACTTAGCACACATGCCACATATATTCCAGAAAGTAAGACAAGAGCTTGCCTCCCCACCCCGTGCTGAAATTACCTCTTTAAAAGATAGGGGGAAAAGTTTTTGCTCTTACAGAGACTCTCTGTCTTAGTTATTTTATTTTGAAAAACCTGGCATCATTTGGGAAGCACAACCCAAAATGACCTCAGTCAGTGCTAGTTTGGAATGCTGGTAGAAATGATTTGACAAGATCAGTAAAAGAGCAATGAAAAGAAAGACATTTAATATAGATTTAGAAGGTGGATAAGTTCAGCTCAAGTGCAGAGTGTGGGAGAGGACTTGTGGGGAGGAAGATAAGAACTGAGAAAACTGTAGGGAAGCCCCACGTGTGACTGTGGTCACACATGGAAGCCCCCACGTGTGACTGTGGGGCCCTCGGGGGGCAAGTCCTGGCCCCATGTACTCTGGCCACAGCTCTGGGTGTTGGTATCTGGAGCTTTACATCTAAGGGGGGTAAATGTCTTATAAGTACAGAAGAACAAAAACTTTAAATCTCTGATAGCCTTATTATTGCTTTTTTTTTTTTTTTTTTGGATAACCTCTTGAGAGCGCCCATTGTGAAAAGAAGTCCTCTCCATCCTTGTTTCTTGGCTGATTTAAAATTTTCAAATGACCAAGCATCTCGCTAAAGTGGGAGTCTAGATCCACAGTTTTCGATCTTATTGTTTCTTCGTATCAACTTCATCATCTTTCTAGTAGGGGCAGCAAGATGGCTATTGAGTGATGGGTGTGCATGAATGAAAAAGGACTCCTGGAAAGAGTTGCCTGGGATTGGTGTGATGGGTTCATGTTGTCAGTCCAGGCTGCCTGGAGGAGAAAGGCTTTGTAGGTTTTCATGGATTTGAGAAGTCAAAGGCTCCTTTAAGGAGCCTCAAAGGCAACCTTTAAGGAGGCAGCGGTGTACTGTCAAGGCCTGGAGGGCTCCCTGGAGGACAGAGCAGTTTAACAGAACAGTCAACCCAGCCCCATGCTAACCTGGCTTGCTGTCCCTGTTTTTCAGTAACCGTGGACCCAAACATGTTGAGAAGTGATGTCTTCGTTGATTTTTTAAAACTGGTGCAGCTGGTAAGCTTACTTTTCTTGACTAAGGTCATGATTTCACTACAGAACATGTCTCCATGGGTGTGTTTCTAACCATCAGCCCTATGGAGCCTGGATTCAGATAAAAACATTCATTTGGAGGACACAGGAAGATGGTTCCTATTAATATTTTCTTCTTTTGGAGGCTTAGATTCTAGATGGAACATTAAGTGCATCACTTGGCCTTTTGCCCATTTTAATTAAGTTGATACCTTTTGTCTGTTGCATAAGCACTGACATCTCAAAACTAGCCATGGAAAAGAGAACACATTATTATTAAGGGCCCCCATGACAACTCTGGGACCCTGCTTCTGTAACTGGGACTTCCAAGTTTGCTACAGTGGAGACCTCAGGACGGCAGTAATAGCCTTGCCAGATTATATTTGTGTATTCTGTGCTTAGAACTTTACTGTAAATGAATTATGGAGAAAATTCAATCTCCACAGAAGGACAGACAGCAACTCCCTTTCCTTTGTTGGTCTAAAGAACCATTAGCCACTTGCCCCCAGAGGCTGGAGCTTGGCCAAATACATTTGTTTAGTGCAGGATCCATTCGGGTGGTACACTGGGAACATCTTTATGCCTCCTTGTACATTCTTGACTGAATGGAAGAGCTTTGAAAGGACTGAAGTTGTCCAATGATATGATATTACTGAACTGGTTCCTTGGTTCAGGGAGGAGTGATACCTTGATCAGACTTGTAAAAAACGGGAGCAAAGTGCATTTATTCAGTGGTTCAAGTGTGTTGATAAACTTACTGGTCCACCCAGCTGAGAAATGCCGCTGGAGCCTCCCATTGTATGACTGCCCGTATTTTCATGTATACTTAATGTTAGGGGTGTGTGTGTGTGTGTGTGTGTGTGTGTGTGTGCGCGCGCGCGCACGCGTGAGCATGTATATGCACATACATGTGTATTTTCCTTTTATTTGAAAAGTTTGTTGTTGCAGTGGTGATGGTGGTAACATTCAAATAGCCCAAAATGGTACAAGATAAAAGTAACCTCAAAGTGGTGGAGAATCTGCCTGCCAATGCAGGAGACGCAAGAGACATGGGTTCAATCCCTGGATTGGGAAGATCCCCTGGAGGAGGAAACGGCAACGCACTCCTGGAAAATTCCATGGACAGAGGAGCCTGGTGGACTACAGTCCAGGGGTCGCAAAGAGTTGGATGCAACTGAACACACACCCATGCAACCTCACTCCCACCATAGATCTCCAGGCTCCCTCCTCAGAGACACTTGCTTACAGTTTAACTCGTGTCCCCTGTATGCATTTTTGTGCAGATACAAGCCTTCACACATATGCATATCCTTTTCTGTCTCATGAATAAGCACTTACTCTATCCACTTTCTGAACCTTGTTTTTCAAAATTTGCATCTTGCAAATCACTCTGTGTGAATGCACAGAGGTACAATCAGCCTTGGTTCTGTCATCTTTGCATGCACTGTGGTTTTTGTTTTCAATGCTTCCTAAAAGTCATTCACAGGGTGGCAGAGTTTTGGAGCTTTGTTTTGGGTGCCTTTGTTTTGGGTGTTTTAGTGCTCTTAGTATTTTTTTATCTGAATAACTGCGCGGAAGCCTTTTGCCCCACTTTGCAGCGTCTCTTTTTTGCTGCATTTTGCAGCATCTATTCTTTCTTCTTGTGATGGAGTTTTCACTTTTGCAGTGGCTTTATTTTTCTCTTCTGTTGCTTCCGTGGATTTGGCTAGCTTCCTTATATGCTTTTGTTTGCTTATCTCCTTGTTGAGGTCTTTATTTGTTCTTTGAGGTCTGAGTTCAGAGAAGTCTTGTTTTGGTTAACACAGCCATCATGTTCATTTCCTTAGTTTCATCATTTTGCCTTTTTTTCTTTTTTAATTGAGATCTTTCCAGACCAGGGAGCAAACCCGTGTCTCCTGCATTGGAGTCTTTACCACTGAGCCACCAGAGAAGCCCAGTGGCATCATTTTGGGGGCATATATTTTTCACCCACATTTGGTCACATTTCTTTCCTCCTTTCTTGAGGGATTTTTGTCTCTGGCTCTTCCCAAGAGACCCTCAATTTTGAAAGAGTTTATGTTCCTGGAGCCAGTTGTTTGCTGACCCACAGTGCTGGGAGTTGCCAGAGCTGAGTTGGTGGAACCCGTCTGCTGGATCTTGCCTCTCATTTCTGGACGCTTTCTCACTAACACTGTGCCCCAGGGTGGAGTGGCATGTCTGCCGTGAAGCCCAAACCACACAGTTCCTCTTCTCAAGATCATGTCTTCCACCCTCCTGCTGACGAATCGGCCCCAGGACTGACTTAGTAGTTGGGAGTGCAGGTTCAGTGTGAGATGTCCAAGATTCACAGTTTGGCGGCTGCCCTGCTTTCAGCTTGCATGGCTTGAAGCCATTTACCTAGTCTCTTTATTTCTCGGTCTCCCCGTCTCTAGAATGAGTGGAGTAGCTCTTCTCTCAGGGTTGTTGGGAGGATGAAGTGAGCCGGTGCTCCTAAGGCACATAAATGTCCCCTGGCCAATGTTGACACCTATGAGGTCCTCCTGCCATTACCAACACCAATCCTTTTGCCTCTTCCCCACCTGCTGAGAGATTGCTTTGGGCAAAGACGGCAGGCCTGTGCATCTCTCCCCAGACACCTGGTGGCATCAGATGGGCCCAGACCTGTGCTCCCAGACCCCCTGGTGCCTCCTGATGAACTGCGTGAGACAGCGTCAACGTGGCTTGAGTCCTGCCCGCTGCCCCTTTGTCCCTCTGCTTCCATCCTCCCCGCACGGGTCCAATGTTCACCAGACTTGGCAGCTCCTCTGCAAACCCAGCGTTTCAGGCCTGGGACCATTTTAAATTTCTTCAAAGAGGATTTTCCTTCCACTTGTTTTCTGTTTGCCTCCGAAACAAAATGAGAACAATTCCTGAAGATGTTTATCAAAGAGGTTACAGTATGATTTTGAAAAGAATACTGAGTTTAAGTCAGGAAGGTGTTTCTTTGTTCATCAGGCCCCTGCCCTGCCTGCCATCTTGCTGTTTAGTCCCTAGGTCGCATCTGACTCGGTCGCATCTGACTCTTTGTGAACCTATGGTCTGTAGCCTGCCAGGCTCCTCTGTCCGTGGGATTCTCCAGGCAAGAATACTAGAGTGGGTTGCCATGCCCTCCTTCAGGGGGGTCTTTCCAACTCAGGGATCAAACTCAACGTCTCTTAAGTCTCCTGCATTGGGAGGCAGGTTCTTGACCGCTAGCGCCACCTGGGAAGCCCCGTGACTGTTTATAGTGGAATAAATATGTGTTGAATGGTTGCTGGGACTTGATAATGCTCTAGAGGAGAGGGAGGCACCAGGAAATCACACCCAGTCCAGATTGTGCAGTTTCCAGTCTTGTTGTGGAGACAGAAAAGTCACCGTGTAAGACCATAGGTGTAATGAGCCCCGTGGCACAGGAATGAGACCGTGATACAGGGATCCAGGAGAGGACTAGGGATATGTCGAGATCTCCATCCTCGCAGCCCTGATGAAGCATCTGTGGGCCCACCCACCTCTAGCGGCTCCGTGCCCACTTTCCCTGGGTGCAGTACAAACAGTATTATTTTCTCCGTGTGGCTTGGTGAGAAGAGGGATGGGAGGCACTGCCACAGAGTGAATGAGTGTCCGAGGGACATGACAGAGGGCACCTTGGTTAATGACCTAAAGAAGGACCTCTAAGTTAGCGTCGGGTGATTTCTGGGGTAAGCAGGAAGGTAAGATTATACTCTAGCTTTTTCTTCCCATTCAGGGGAAAACTAGCAAATCATGTTAATAACCGGTGGTCTGGGAGACTCAGGACTGATATTGGTAAAAGGGAAGCAGTAGCCACACTTATTACTGGAGGTGAGCAGCTCATCCCCTGACCACCTTCCAGGGCCAGAGTTATTGCTCAGCAGTGAACAGATGTGGTCGGTGCAGGGGAGACTTGACCAGCAGAGCCTGCAGTGAGATGGCTCATGGAGGACTGGTGAGTGCCGGGAGGACTGGGATGAGCACAGGGGATGTGTGGGTCTGCCAGACCATCAGAGGAGCCCAGGGAGCAAGGGTTGGGAAGTTTCCCCACCTCAATATTACACAGACATCCCCCCCTGCCGAATATTTTCACAGCCTTTAATAAGTGCTTGCCCTGCCGTTTCCCAGGTTATTACCCAGTAGTCACACACTCGCAGGCCTGGCTCTCCAGGACTCAGCAGGTACATGCACACCTTCCTGTCTCTGGACAAGGACACAGCGTGTTAGAAATGTGAATGCGTGTGACCATGTAGGAGCCTTCCGAGGAGCCTCCACCAAGGGCGAGCTGCAGTCATCAGAGGGGGCAGCCTCTGCAGGATATTCGATCTGGGCTGGACCTGACACTTTCTGTGCAGTATCTCATTCACCCTGGTGACCTGTTGAGGGTGGTGCTGTTAGTATCTCTTTTTCAGTTAAGTAATTTGTCCAAGGACACACATCTTAGTAAGTGGAAGCCCGGGGAGCCTGGATCCGCTGATGTCATGAAGTATTTCTAGAGCGGTGGCAGCCCCCTCTAGCCCCATCCCTCATCAGGTCCCCCTTGTTTTGTATCCAGACCCCTCCTGCCCACCCAATTACCCTGCTCCCTGCCTTTGGCCTGCAATTGCCTCTGAGATGAAGAGGTTTTTGAAAGGCAAAACCAGTCTTTAGACTAAGGCCTGTATGTTCCTGGTTCTTAATCTGTATAGTCTGAACAGCATGTTTGAGAAGAAAGAGACTAAGAAGTTATTTGTTGTGGCTATTGTGTACTTGGGGAGTTAGGGGCAATGTATATATTTGGGGAGCGTTGCCCACCATGGGTCTAGGGGCTCTGGGAAGTGACTCTCTCCCCATTTCCTCTTAAGAACGTTTCCTGTTTCCCTTGTAGTGAAATGATTAGGACCGATTAGTAAGTGTGATGGAAATTTAGAGGCTGGCACATCCACATATGAATTTTCTGGATAATAAAGATCAGGGTAAGTGCTATGGCTACCAGGGAT